ACGCTCGCTGCCTCCTCAGTCTTTTTCACGAAAATATATAGGTCACACTTCGATTGATAATGATAAATCTTTTCACCAATTATATTACTGTCATGATTATTGTTCGTTAATTGCCGTATATTTTCTTTTGAGTTAGAATGTTAATCATTAACGGTGTGTGTGTTTTTTCTCTCTTTTTTTAAATAACGGAATGGTTATTATGGTTAAACACTTCTCGGCAAAGCAGCGTGATTTTCCGAGCTCGGAAAGATCTTCGCACGTGTGTAGACCTAGGCTATTTGGTCTTGCAAGAACAGGTGTGTGCACCGTTCCCTATTGACGCTTAGATCAGTAGACTGGGTATCAGTACTTGCTACGGACATAAAGAAGTTTAGAACTATACACCAGTTTCATAACAAGTGTAGGTTTTTTACTCAAGGTGAAGCCATAGACTGGGCTAGAGGGGCTGAGTTATGGTCATCGATCTAACACGAAAATGTACTATTTTTGTAAATAAAAACATTTCTAGAAACAAAAATGAAGTTTATCTTCAAAACGTCTGTATATTCAAAATCAGTATATGGTGGAGGAATATTCAGTGATGCTCCATGGCCGCAACCGATCTCGCGCTTTCTTTGCGTTTAACAACGGCCGTCAATGCATCACTGGACGAGTTCATTGATTACTCTAAAAGGTGACAGGTTGGACCATCTTTAACATCTGCCTATACTTTGAGTGATAGTACTTTTTAATAGCACAAAATTAAAAAATAAATTAAAATCTATCCTTGATAGATCTGTAGTTTTGCTATTTATAAAAATGGGCTATCTTTGATAATCCATAACGACTTGGACTTGTTTTGATTTTTTTTTTACAGAAGATTCTATCATTGGAAAGTTAGATGGTACACATGAAGCACAGACCCATAGTATGCGGGATTTTTTGGGAGTCCCCCCCCCCTTTCACTTTGAAAACGTTGTTATAGGCCTGTAACATGCTATTTGGATTAGATATTCCTGAAAATGAGTGAGGCGTTAAATACATTTTTTTAAAATTATACGATTAATTATATTTAGTTTATGTTCTATGTGAAATTAAAACTATTTTTATGCATATGCAATTTTGTGATAAAGTCACTACATGCATGTAACGTTATATATGTACATGCAGTTTGTTTCCTACTATATGCATATTTTATTCAACAAAAGTTGAAACTCATGCAGTAGCCTAAATATTATGTCATTTTAGGATATTTATGTATATGGCACTTTTATAGTTGACTTTCTACAGCTTGAGTATCTCTGACGTTTTGTCAGTAAATGCTTGTTTTTTTTTTTTTATTAGAAATCATCTGAACACAATGAAAATTTGAATAAATTAAAAGTCGAATATCTTGGATATTGGGTAACCCATATCTATTCTTGTATTTATTCAAGCCAAATCCAAATTCAAATTTTCGGCATAGTAGAATATTTCAATATAACATTACATTTTCAAATAAAAATCTCGTAATGCAGTGATTATTTTATATGATTATAGCATGTGGACAAAATCCAAATATTACATGCAAAATATGTCAATAAGTTTCAACAAATAATTAGATTTATCGACGCTGGGATGATGTATTTGTGCTTGGTAAATTGAGAATAAAACATCCTGTTATATCAACATTGATAAGATATATCACAAAGAGCTGTCATTTCATTGAAGTTAATGTCATGGCTACATATTAAAAGAATGAACCATGACAATATCTAACACATATGACGACACATCATACTGACATTGTCGGCTTTAAAAGATAAGTTTAATGCGAATCATTCTTGTCATGTCTTTGTAGATATTTGTTGTTTACTTTGTATTCCCTTCAGTGCGGTGAAAATATTTTCTCAAATTTGTATTTTTTTCACTTGAGTTTGTTCATGTCGGAACACACATATTTAATAATATATCTTTAGATGTACAAAGATCGACAAACATGTAATTTTTGCAGGACAGTGTTTGGCAAAAGTATCTTGAACATTCAATATTACAGCTTGCGAAATAAAATAAAGCGTAAATGCAATTTATTTGAAGAAAAAAGTTACTCCAACATTTTCCCCATCATGTCTCACTAATTAAAGCACGAAGAAAACCGCTACAGTTTTTTTTTTATTTGGATACACTTTTGTAAATATAAAAGAAAAAAAATATTAATGAATACATTTTATAAGGGACGATGTAGTCTCAGTGCATGTGTATCGAAGTGATAATAGCAGAAAAAAATTTCCATACATTTCTTTTCAAGAGAGAAATTCTGAATATAAGTGACATTACTCTTAGTGCAGAGATGAATCGATTAACTGATTGAAAGAAAAAACATCAAAGCATTTAAAGTTTAACATAAAGAACGTGTCATGTGTTTAGTTATCATGTTGTCAATTGAACAGGATACATGATATGAAATAATGAAAAATGTCATGGTTATTGGTACCTTATTTTCTATTAAAGTCTTCTCCAAAGTTTGGTCAATAAAGTAGAGTTGAATGCAGCGACTTCATATCAGTTTCTCATCATAGCATTGAACATATCAGATATTAAACACAGACAGAATATATCAGATCTTGAATACAGACAGAATATATTAGGTATTAAAACAGAATATTTAATAGGGTTTATCAGACTTTGAACAAAGATTTGACATATCAGGTCTTGAACATATATAAAAAATATCGGATCTCGAACATTAAAAGAAATATCACATCTTGAAACTAGATAGAACATATCGAACATATCGATCTGAACATATCAGATCCTTAACAGAGATAGAACATATCAGATCTCTATCAAAAACAGAACCTATCAAATCTCTGTCATAAACAGATTATGTCAGATCTCTGTCATTTTTATATTTATTATTTAACGTCCCTCTCGAGAATTTTTCACTCATACGGAGAAGCCACCACTTGCCGGTGGAGAGCTACTTATTTTTAGCTATACTCGGCACTCAGGGCCACTGAGCAGTGATGGATCATTTTCGTGCCAGCACCTACTGCGAAACACGACCTTGGTTTATACCGTCTCATCCGAAGGACCGGTCTCCACGTCCCACAGTGGGATTCGAACCCGCGACGTAAGGATCAATTCCTTCCTCTGCGACTCTAGAGAGAATGCTCTAACCACTGCGCCACGCGGGCGACAGATCTCTGTCATAAACAGAACAAATCAGATCTCTGTAATAAACAGATTATGTCAGATATCAGACACAAACAGTTATGTCAGATCTCTGTCATAATCAGATTATATCAAATCTCTATCATAAAACAGATTACGTAAGATCTCTGTCATAAACAGATTTTGTCAGATCTCTGTCATTAACAGATTTTGTCAGATCTCTGTCTAAACAGATCATGTCAGATCTCTGTCATAAACAGATCATGTCAGATCTCTATCATAAACAGAACATATCAGAGGTCTGTTCAACAGTGCGAGCGCTCGCGAACATTTCTGTTGAAGGTATTAGGAATTCTGGCGAGCGCTCGCGAACGTTCGCTCTGTTGAACAGGCCTCAGATCTCTGTCATAAGTAGATCATGTCAGATCTCTGTCATAGGTCGAACCTATAAGATTTTCGACATAGATAGAACATTTAAGATTCCCAAACAAAATTTTCTTATTATTTTTATAATACTTATTTACTGCAATTATTGCTTTTATCAGCATTATTTGAAAACACAATAAGTATACATGTGGTTAATCGAAGGCGTTCCTATATAAAGTAAAGCAGTGCCTCAACATTTCCCTTGTAAAATGTTCTGTGCAGATGGAAACAATATTAGAGTGGATTTTTGCAGTTGACAATGACAAATTTCTTCCCCTCTTTCAGTTGGGCACATGGCCATCAATAACTGAACAATGACATATCTTTGGATATATATATATGTATGTATGTATATATATATATATATATATATATATATATATATATATATATATATATATATATATATATATATATATATATATATATATATATATTCAGCATTAGCTGACGACAGATAAGGGTTTGAGACAAAATCCTCACATCTTAAAGTATGGACAACAGCGTGTTATTTAAGTTAGAACCCATTCCACTCGAATGTTCGATAATATAAAGGACCTGGAAACTATTTTCTGACAGATGAATGACCATTAAAACTGGTAAAGAAGAAATGCTACGACAACCAATGATTCTGATGGCCAAACTTAATTTAGGTACGTTTCGGAAAGAGGATTTGGATGAAATATCAAAATAATAAACACAATAATATCAATAGACTTTTAATTCACAACTTTATGTAATCGTAACTACTGATTTACCAAAATACCAAAGAAAACTACAGTTACTATGAGAGAAATAACCATGTAAAAAATGAAAAAGAGACGGTCTAATACTCGTGCCAAATTTCGCCATTCTTCTAGTCTCTGTTCTGAGCTTGTATGGTCAGTTTTTGTCTCCTGACTACAACTTTCTATTGAAAATGAATGTACACTTTCCACCTCAACATCACATTTGTTTGTTTCCTGAAAAATAATGATACAAAATAAATTAAGGAATTGTTAGAACATTTGTTTTTGTAGAAGAAAAAAATCAGTTTTTTTCCTGAGAATTCAGCCCTTAAAAGCGTGTATTTGTGAAGTTGAATATAAAACAAACCTTGACTATTACAGTTTCTGGCTTCTTCTTCGAATCACCGACTCTCGTCGTATCACAGAGCATAAATTGTAGTTTTCTAAGGAAAAGTCTCTTGACTGATGAAGGTAATGGGCTTGTCGATTCTCCACGGAAATGTAAATACAAGACACAGACGGCAAATGTACAGGAGAGACATACGATAACCATACACACCGAAAAATACATCCCTGTGAAATAAAAGTATGGTCCATTTATATACTTAGAGAGCCCTAATATATAATATAAAATTGAAATTAAATATCTTGTTATGAAAAAAAGTACCAGCTACAAATCAAATAAAGAAATTCCCGTCCCCAAATTTCACTCACCAATAATTGGAAACGTTTCTGCGGATGCTGGTAACTTATCAGAAACAAGGAGAAGAAATACTGATAGCGACAATAAGACGGTCACTTCAAGTGAAACTTTTTCACCAGAGTCAGCCGGAATTATGAAACCCAGGGCGGCTAGAGCAAGCACAAGTGTGCATGGAAATATAATTGTCAGCACATAGAACTTCGGCTTCCGCTTCATCTGAAGATAAAACGTCACATCCGGGAAGGGCTCTGGGCAGCATCCATAGTATAACACGTGACGTTCACTCCGGAAGCTGATCACCTCCCACTCATTGCTCTTGACAAAGGAAGACAAATCTCCTGCAAAAAAGAAAAAAAATGTTTAAAAACAGCTCTGAAGAAAAAATACATTGAGTCCAGTGTTACCATGTTCTGAATTTTGTATTTACTTCAAAATTTAGAACATGACACACTAGTCATGCGAGTGGGTTAGAAAAAAGTACCTTAAACTAGCCATAATCGTGATGCATATCTGCATAAATCTAAGTGGTCAGTTGTTACCGGTATTCATATAAAATCAACGATATTATAGAAGGTAAGCGCATTTGCATCCATCACAAATGAGCCATTTGATAAGAACCTGTAAATGTCTTCTGATAACGCAACCTCACATGGTACAAACTCATATAAAATATTGTAAGGGATGTTAACCATCTATACAATTTAAAAAAAAAATGTAAGATGTGTGAAGGTTTCATCTCTTCGTAAATCCGTAGTGATATCATTATTACATGTAAAAATTTACACATTTACATATGATTGTGAAATTTATTTTGTTTGCGGTTGCTAAAGTTGTTACTGAAGGGAAAAAAAACTTCACTTAAATATCGCTATTTCAAAAATGTGCATTATTTCAACCAGAGGTACTGTGGGCACTGAGCTCACAAAATGATATCCCCACCTCCCATATGATTATAATGGCAAAGTTCATGTTTTGCTAAGGGAGACCCGAAATATGTGTCAGATGAAAAGTAAAATAGGTCACAATGGCACTATGTAATATAAAGATTCTGTGTGAAAGTAATGGACGGACGGACACCTCCATCATTATACCCCTCCCCCCGTTTTTCAAGCAGGGGGTATAGTTAATAAAAGACATAAAAATCAATGCCAAACCGGTAGATCTTCTGGCCACTAAATCAACCTCCTGCCCATTATAAGTCCATGACCCTAGTGTGATGGTACATTTCTGTGTGTCGTAAGGGAAATATGTGACATCAACCGAACACGACATCTCCACAACTGTCGGAAAGTTGAAATAGGCTGAACCGTCGGAATACACCGTGATCCGGTAAAAACCCCGACCAGGCATATTCTCACCCTCATGAGCACTGATAGGGAAAATAACGAAACATAACTTACGTAAAGAATGAATATAGTGATATCGGTCTAAAAAAGTTTATCTACCACTAAATATAATAAAAATGCACCTCTCAAACAGAGTAATATCGGGTGTCCAAAGTTTGCCCATGGAGACCGAGAAGGAAGTGAGTCCGCCGTATGTGGCAGGTGTCCAGGCCAGACCGCAGTCTTTCCAGCTCTGAATTAAAGTTATTGACAATGATTTAGTATACAAAGATTTGATTTCATCATTTCTTTTAGTTGTGTAATTTACTTCAAAGCATAAGATTTTCAACATTCAAAAAGTGAAATTTTAAAATACGATATTACAAAATTGAGGCTCAATCATCATTTTGACAAACTACTACCAAATTGTTTTTCAAATGATATTTTTCTGCATTATTCAACAAAACTGAGTGATCAATCTGATATTCCTCACTTCAAAATTATGGCCAAGGCAAGAAAGCTTGACCTTGACCTTCTCCGTAATTCCCTGTTTTAGGATCAGGACACACCCTCTAGTCATAAGCATCTTTGTTTTAAAGTTGAGCTTCCGATGTTTCTACGTTTCAAAGTTGTAGCCAGAACAATTCGAACAAAATTTTATCAAATTGATTGAAAATGATCGGTTGTTCTAGAACTCTTTTATAAAAGTTGTCGATAATTTGAATAACAGACGTACATTTGTACAAATGCTGGACAAACTTTCACCAAAAACAAAGCTCAGGTTAGCTAAAAAAAAGTTTAAAGAAAAAAGAAAAGAACATCTGCTATTTGTTTGATCTTTATTAAGAGTACTTTATTGTATACTGTACCTGGCGTATCCACATCTTTAACTTCAACGTTTGTTCTCTTTCATTCTAAGAATATTTATTTACATAATTAAGTAATAACAAAGAACTCGCAAGAAAAAAAATGATTTTAGGAATTACATGTTAACTACATTAAAATGAAATAGAGGTAAACTGTCAATTTAACTGACCTGCTGATTTATTATTTTTTTCTCTCGATATGTCTCCTTAGAGTGAAACACAAATAATATTGTTACATTTAATCATACTTTAACAAACAACAGTTATGTAAACTTGGTCTACAATGGTTCTTTCATGTATAATTAAGAACTTTGAGTATAAGTGTGGACATTTTTCTCTATTTAGAAATCAATGTAGAACCTTGAGAATAAACAGCTGCAATTGACATGGGTTAATAAATATTTTCTTCTATAGGGTGCTGTGCTGAAATAATACTCAAGTGTAACTCATTCATGTATTCTTTATTCAAGACTAGTAATTAGAAATATCACAAATGTTTTAATGTCTATTTTAATTTCTTCGCTACAGATTCCATTGGAATTCGTACTGGTATAAAAAAAAAAAAAACCCACACATTCTGTGATAATTAGAATATCAATTTAAAAAGCCAGGTATTAGGAGAAAACTATTATATATCTACATAACTCTTACTGACTTTTATGGTTTAATGTTGTACACTTCTGGTGACAAGTAGACGATAAATTTACATATTCTCTCTGGCATCCATGGTATAAATGTATACTTCCGGTGATCAGGGTATAATAAGAGAGTACAATCAGTCTCAGAAACTAACAACTTAATCTTTCAGTGATTATAACAGTTTATAATATTTACCAGGGCAATAATCTCTCGGAGGGCAATATCTAGATTGACAGTGATATTGGTGGTATGATTGCATCTGGGCAGAATTTCTGTGGTATAGTTCGATAACAGGCTACTGTAGAGACTCTGTTCTATGGTGGAAGGTTTAGCCTCTGTAGAACAAACATCGTACGAATCAATCACTAATCTGATAATTAAATAGGTCCTCCTTTGTGTAGAGGGCTAAAAACAATATGCAAGATCAACTATGATTTAGGTCATGTCTTATTTTACTATCTGATTACTGTATGATTATTCATAACAACAAACATTATACGGACTCGCTCATCATAAAAAGTGTTGCAATGTCATCTTTACAAAACATGCCTACAATCAACACTATTGATTATTATAAAGACAAGTAAAATACAAATTTTTAAAAGAAAAATCAAAAGAAACAAATGGAAGAATATGATAATTATAGAACATGAAAGTTTGATTTCACCGTTTCATTGCAATAAAGCTAGATAAACATCGATGGATGCAAGGTAATCTGATTCTTCAACAAAAGTAAAAATCAAATGAGAAGAAAAAATATAGTTTATAATAATGTTTTGTATTCTTACCTTTCAGCGTTAAAATTACAATTAAAAAGGAAATAACTTTTTCCATTTGACTCCAAAATCGTCATTCACTACAACTTTCTTTTAAATTCTGCTGCAGTTGAAAGCGACGACCGTCAAATATGAAATGTGCAAGACATTTCACTGTTATTCGTTAAGCTTTTTTCCCTCATTTGTTGCCAATCAGCCACGTTTAGGTTAATTATCGCGTCAGATCGATGACGTGTAAACAATTTAAATTCTGTTGAAAAATGGGGTCGTAAAAGTTGCCTAACTTTGAGCCTGCAGTAAAAATAGCCTTGGATAACATCAATTCATTTTAAATTAGTTTCCCTCGGATTTAAATTTAATTAATTAAATATGTATACGTTTTACTGTGTAAATTTCTAAAACCACATTGTTTTTCTCGTACTGGTTTGGTGTGTTTAGATGCTTTTGTGCTAAAAGGTTTCCATTTTGATTTATTCTATTTCATCTTTCTCTTTCAGTTCCATATCAAGATCCGTATCAAGATCATATTTTTCTTCTTGAGACTGTCTAGACTTTTTTTTTTTTTACAGTAATATATCTTTTTTCTGACTATAGATAAAGGACAAATCTCTGTAAATCCCGCCTGAAAGGTACGCATCATTTTAAAGAAAAATCAAGTACTAATACTTAAAATTGGATTAGCCAATCTCAGTTTAATTGATTTAGAGGTGATATGGTGGTCGAAAATAAGCAAATCCCCTTTTTCCCACTTGCCCCCTCCCCTCCTTGCCTCCCTCTTTCTAACTGATCATACTATTTCTGTGTAATTTAAAATATATAGAAAACTAAAATTATTTTGGTAAAAACTCTACCTAATTGTATTTAAGGCATAAGGTCATTGCAAATCAAACATTAGATGAAAACATACAGAGATATACACAAGGGTAAGGTTTCAAAGGAAAATACAATTAGAAATGTACTTCAGTATACCCATGGTTGTACATCCGTTTTCCCTAGTTGTACAAAATGACAAATCTAAAGAAGAAATAGAAAAAGACAGGACAAAACCTGTTGAGCATCTTTTCATTTCTAAAAATGCCTACAACATCTAAACCAGTGTAATTTTTGGTCAGTTTTCTTTGTTATTTTCTTTATTATTTTTAAAGAATTGGACATATACGTGTGACTGTAAATCCAACAAAACATTTTCTAAACTTGGGACTAAACAAAACCAAAAGATTTACTGGATTTAATGTATCTGTGTCGAAAGACACTTTCCATAAAACCCAGTTTCTTTAACTACAGCTTAAAAATGGATAATGTCAGAATCTCTTAAAACACACTGTTCATTTATAGTATATTTGTTTGAAAAATTGAGACCCCCTTTATTTGAATAAATGCTAAAGGTGGTAATACTAATAGATGATTAAATTATCAAAACATCGACCACATTTATACATTTATTCTCATTGCGATAAAATAAGACCTGGACACAGTAACTTAGATTGAAAGGTTTAAAAAAATGTTTTTTAAAAGGGGCTTCAAAAAAAAAAAAAAAAAGATTAATATTTTTGTCTGCATTTTCCAGAATTAACACGAGATTTGCATGTTCCTTGAGACTTTTACTTATTCTAAATGACAACATAACCTTCAGATGAAACATTAGATGTAAACTATTCGGAGACTGAGGTTAGGTTTAAAACTAAGTTTTCCTTTCAAAAAAGGCATACAGTTATTCATATAGGATAAAAAGCTTCGAAGGTTTTTCCCGTTGTTAATGTGCATGTTATTTATTTGTTTTTTTTCACGAATCTATTTTGTGCATACATGTAACATGTAATTTAATTGAAATCGCTTCAAAATTACTGGGCTTTATAAATTCTTGAAAGTATTTCTCAACATGCTTATTTTGAATGTTTCTTTTTGTGTCACCTGCAGGGCAGAGCGGCACTTAGGGATCACTTTACCCGGCGTCTGTCTGTCTGTCACACCCTATATCTCGAGAACTGTAAGAGGTATGGTTTTGATATTTTGCACATATATTACTCGGCACTATGGCTTTTGTAAATTACCATGGTTACCGACCTCGTTATCCTTGACCTTTGATTGACTTTTCAAAATAGTTCATAGTGCCGATATACAGCATATTTCTGATACATAAGAGGTAAGTCTATGCTATTTAGCATGTGCACTGTTTGACAAAAGACAGTATGAGAAATATTAGCATAACAATCCCCTTGACCTTGACCTTTGACCCACTTTGCAAAAAATACCTCGGACAATTTAATTTTACTTATGACTTTTGAATTTTGAGAGGCAAGATTTTGATAATTTACATATTTATGAGCTCATGATACTGTATTTTGAAACTTTATGATATTCAGTTACCACACAAACTTATATTAAATACTATGAAAATACATCGGTATCGGTATTCCATAATGGATCATGTAGAATGACAACTGCAGTATCTCTTTTGGAGGATTGTTGGAAACACATATTAATAAAATGATAAATAGTTATTTCTAATAATTTCAATTTAATTCTTCATTTGAGGGTTAAGGAATCATATTTTCTTTGATTGTCAGATTCTATGGCAGTCTTATACAACCCATGGATGCCATTTTTTCTTAATTTGCAGGCAAATGCATGACCTATCATGCTAATAGAAAATAAAAAGCTGACTACTCTTAGATTAATTTACATCTTTAATCGAGCTACAAAGCGGGTGACACATGCGCCCCTTGGAACACTCCAGTTTTAATCATGTAAAAGAACCAACATTCAAAATGAGGTGCCAAGAAAATTATTGTAAAGAGTAAATAAAAAGAATATTGACATGTCTTCAACAACCTGGGTAGATTTATCATTATTGACCATTAACGAGAGACGAAAAAGATGGAAAGCTATTAAAAAACTTTATCAATAAACACCTCTTTGCAATGTACTTAGTTATCATTATAGTAAAAAGGAAAAATGTAACAAATGAAAAGGGCATTAATTTTTTTTTTTTTTGTATAAATCAAAATGACGTTTTCCCCAGACTTTTTATGTATGCCAGATTTAAAAACAATAAAGCTTGAATCTGGGTTCTTTTCCTAAGTTCTTTTATAAAATGGGACCATGGATTATTATGACTGCAGTAGAGAATGCAGATCAGAAAGAGCAACTTTTAAGAAAAAAGGGACACTGACTGCCAAGGTGAAAAATTCTTTGATAAATGGACAGCCCAGAAAAACTGGTTTCATTGTTTCCGGTGACGTCATGCAGAATTGCCTCTTCGAAAGCCTAAAAAAATATTCCACAACGAGAGACAGAAATCGGAAAGCAATTTTGAACATACCCCAAAAGATACTAGAGGCGTTGCTGGGCTTACAAATACATGTATTATCATTATGGTCTGTTTAAATACTGTTGGAAGTCCCATGCCTCCCATGTTTGCCGTGAAGGGAAAGACATCATAGATTCAACACAGAGGCGGACCCAGAGAGAAGTAAATAGAGCATCAAGAAAATGATATGACATGGCCGTAGGAACCGGGGGGCACAGGGGGGGGGGGGCGTGCCCCCCCCCCCATAATTTTGCCGATATATAGATGACCATAGAAAATTTAGCTATTTCTAGGTTGTACCCCCTCAATAAAAACGTCTGATGACCCTTTTTTATTTGCTTGTCAAGGAATTTTTGGTAGTTGATAGTGCCCCCAAAAAATATATGGCTGTGCCCCCCCCCCCCAACTGAAATTGCTTCCTACGGGCCTGTATGATGTCTAATATACGGGAAATATGGTTTAAAAAAATCTGAAGGTCGGTTTCAGGTATACTTATTTCCGATGGACAATCCTACCAATCAGCACTGTTCAGTAGCGATATACGGTAGGTCCTCAGTATCCATTCTATATTATTCTATAAGTGATGAATTTGATCGTCAGCTTTATCATGTATCCTACACGGGAAGTGTATCATCACACAGACACTGATGCAGTTTTTCAGAGTATTAAAATAAACATATAGTAGGCAAAGAAATGATGCTGATTTTTAATAATGTGATCAACTCTAAAATCTCGAACAGATATTTTGATAAGTTCTTCTCTATAATACATGTACATACAGCGCCCCAAGTTGAATTCCCAAATGGAAAGGTGACAACTGTCATTATCTATCAAATTTGTTATTTCTTTTAAAATCCCTTTACCCACATTGGATTATCCTGAGATGTTCTTTGAATGGATACTGAAGCCCTACCGTATATCGCTGCTGCAGGATATTCAAACTCCACACCATTGAGAAGTGGAGGATTTCACGCTCGGTGCTCACTTTTACAAGCAAAATATAAACTGACCAGTAAGTATTACTCCAGAGATAGGGAAGTGACCAGAAGTATAACTCCAGAGGCAGTCAAGAGGGTCTGGCAGTGTGTAAGTTATTTTCAATTAACGTCTTCTTTTAATCAAATTTGAATGTATTCTTTTACCGAAAAATACGTGATTATCAAAATTTTAATGCTAAGAACCGGTTTTGATTTACACGAAATGAACAGTGAAAAATGTAAATACTATCCATCATAAATTCAAGTTTTCGTTTTTGAAGCTTTTTTCTTAAAACTTTTTAATTCGTATTTTTTTTTTATTTATCATGGAATCATGAACAATCATTGACACCTTGATTGTGTGAAAATAATTTATATAACTAATAATTTTCAGTCTTATATTAAAACGCCTAGTTCAATTTACAAACTTTAATTTTTCTTTTAAATTGTGTAAACCATTATTTCATTGTTATTTTCCTAATGATTACGAATTGAAATTTTTGTACATGTAATTTAGTTGAAATTAAGTCCCAATTAATGTAATGTTAATAAAGATGTTAAACTTTTCGTCATTTTAGTATATAAACAGAGTCATCTAATATAAAAGTGGGAATCAAGTGTAATCATATCTTCAAGCTAATTTTTTTTCTCTTTGTTTTCGTTAATTAAAGATTAAAGACTGTCTTAAATAAAATAAGATATTTGTTGGGAGAAAACATTCCTCTTACTAGCACCCACGTCATATTATATCCAGTGTATTTCTATATTGGATAAAAAATAAACATACCAGGGGATAAATCTTAAACATAATAAGAAAAAAAACCCTAAACCAATCAAACAACAACAAAAACTTAATAAACACGCTTTTTACATTACACTCCCGCGTAATCTTCCTGATTCCATTCATAAAAATTCAATCTATTCTACATTTTAACCTGAAACCATATAAAGATGGCCTTCAGCCATGTTCCTTTTTCTTTTGAAATTTTAATCTCACTGTATTTATTAATTATTGATACTCTTATTGAGCACACAAAGAAATGGTCTTTTGATTAACTGATCAAGGTTTGTATGCTATCAGTTCTTTCTTTAAAGAATTGAAAGTTTGAGATGTTTTTCCTGCTTCAAACATTATCTAGCTTGATGCGAATTACAATATTGAAATGACAGTTTTGTGGGGTTATGTGCGCCGATTCGAAATCAATCTCTTAGGGATGTAGTCACGGGGACAACTTTTTATGGGTTAAAAGGGAAGAGCGCTAGTACAGTTCAACACAGAATGTCGAAGTTGTGCTGATGTTTGTGGAATGATGAGATTGAGTTTCCAAGTAGGGTCGTTTGCTTTAACATTGAGAATACATATATAGTTTTTTTTGGTTATCGAGCTGGAGATAAACAATGTTATTAGTATTAATTTTCATTCTATATAACTGTATCTACTGAGTTTTACGACAATTTAAGTTTTCAGAGTTTTTTTTTTTAAAATTATTGTTCAAGAGTGGATTCTGGGATCTTTTTATGGTAGAGCAATTTTAGTCTGAAAAAAAAAATCGTGCTTAAAAAATTCCGATAAACAAAATAAATTAAGTCCAGTCATTTGACAACATTTTCTGTCAAAATGGGAACTACATGTAATCGCAACAGAAACATTTTTTACCAATCTATAGGATGACAATAATAATCAATAAAAAACAGGACAAATCAACAATAAAAAAAAACAGGACAAATCAATGGGAAATTTAAAATATGGAGGTCATTATTCAGATGTTAATAAACTCAAATGATAAATGTGAAAGAAAGAAGTCAACATATCATCAATTCTGGCCACATGCTTCCTTGGTATTCATTACACATAGCCACATGCAACATACCCCCCCCCCCCCCCCCCCCGAGAGAATTTACTATGAAGTTCTTTCAGAGTTAATTAAACAAAAGCATATTAATCTCTAAGATTTTAGCAGATCGACGTAAAAGTTACTTTAGGTGTATTGAAATATTTTTACAATACGTTATTTATATACGATTTGTATCCTTCTTTACTTTGATAATTCTAAAAATTTCCATTTGTATTGTATAATTTTACAATACAAATGGAAAAGCATACAATACAAATGAGAAATTATACAATACAAATGGATAATTATACAATACATATTGAAAATTATAGAATACAAATGGAAAATTATACAATACAAATAAAAAAATATACAATACAAGTAAAAAATCATAGAATACAAATGGAGAATTATTGAATACAAATAAAATCAAAGTACTGTAAATACTGATAGACGGTGGCATGAATGAGATTTTGTTTGTTTAACGTCCCTCTCGAGAATATTTCACTCATATTGAGACATCACTATTGCCGTTGGTGGGCTGCAAATTTAGATCTGTATTCAGCACTCCAGGCCATTGAGTAGTGAGGGATCTTTTTCTGACCAGCACTTACTGCGACACGGGACCTCGGTTTAACTGTCTCCACGTCCCCCAGTGGGATTCGAACCCGCTACGTAAGGATCGACTCCTTCATGTTCGTGACTCTAGATTAAACGCTAACCACTGCGCCACACGGCGACTGGCATTGGATGAGATAAAATATTATAATAATCTGTAAAATGATATGATGGAAATTATGAAAGTTTATTGCAATTTTTTCACGATACATGTTTTTTTAATAAGTAAATTAATAAGTCAATTTATATTGCCGAAGTATACTGAGGACATGAATTAATTGGAGTTGTTGATTTATTGCATGAAATTTTTTACATTAGGTTTATTATAAAATAAGATTTGAAGAAAAAATAAACTATGCTAGAATGCCAGAAACGAAAGTTCAATCATTTCAGTTTTTTATACAATGTATGTACTATTGTGGTATACAGTCATAATTGCAAATTTAAAATGAAAACATATTTAAGGATGAGGGACAGATTGAAATTATATATTCAAATAATGGATTTTGGGATCCTCATGTTTTAGTATTTTTCCCCATAAATTAATGCTTAAATGTGTCAAAACCAGTTTACCCTAAATGTTAAATCATAAGGGAATCAAGGTTCTTAATATACTCATGTAGTGACCGAACATTTTTATTCTAAGATGCATGTTTTACAAAAATGTGTAACGAAATCGTGGTGTTTTGAAGTTAGAAGTTTTGACTTTATAATTTCAAATCTTTACTCAGTGATCAATAATCAAATTTTGCATCCCCCTCCCCCAAAAGAAAATATGAACAATTTTTCGTAACTTATTGGAAAAGTTTTTGAAATTTTTAGTAGAATTGAACCCACGATATTTTTTAACAAAAACTTACTTTTCATAAAGTATATGGTAAAAAGGGAAATGATGAATCACATTTGGCCATGTACTGTAGATCATAAATCATATGCTGAAAGATAATGAAATAGACTTTATCCTTGGATTCCAATCTTTGCCAAATTCCCTGACTGTAATTAATTTATTTCTAAAAGCTTGAAAGACTCCAGGAATTGTACAGAAGTCTTACTTCTTCGTTTGATATATATTGTTCGAAAAGAAAAAAAAGAAAAGAAAAACAAAATATTTGTCAGCATCCATTTCTCCATCGTCTCAAGCCACGGTTCGGAGTCCGCATATAGCTCTCTTCAGAATGGGAGAAGATCGTATATTTTGGCCGTGGTTTGTGACGATGCTATTTCTCATACGTAATCTTAATATGCACTGACCCTGCTTATTGCTGCTAGTCATTGCGCAATACGAAATTTAATTTGTGAACACACGCAGAAGACTGACCTAAATTAAGCCAACTGAATTCGCAAGAAAATCCTAATATTTCATGTACGTGTATTTTAGTACCTTTTTTCTTAACACTTTTTAAAGGGTAAATTTTATTTGAGGCACGCTAGAATTTTGAAATACGAATGAAATATATTGTTAACTTTTTTCCGTCACAGTCTTTTTAATTATAACTTTGATAAATTAGCATTCGTTCAGTAGTTTTTGTGTCCGAGTTAATTAGGCAATGGCTTATAATTATTATTTTTTTTTTTAGATAGAATCGTAATAAACTTTGCAAATTTTATGGCATCGTATCTGCCTCCAACAACTCTTTTATTTACTGATTATCGATAAGATCTCGTGGTCTTTCCCCCCCCCCCCCGAAATATATATATATATATATATATATATATATATATATATATATATATATATATATATATATATATATATATATATATATATATATATATATATATATATATATATATATATATATATTTCTAATATATTATCGTCAACAGATATTAGAAATTCAAACAATCAAAATTCATCGTAAAATTACAGTTAACTTTTAAAGTTTTATTGCATAAAAATTCCACAAAACGTCTCAAATAAAACATTTATAAAACATGCAATTCCGGAACAAGGAATGTGCAGTCCTCGAATCATATTGTACTTTTGGAATTGGAGAAATTTGGAGATCGACACTTTCCTAGCATGGAGTATCTCATAATTATGGAGTATCGTAATAATTATTACCGTTTGTCGCATACATGTAACTTAGAAACCACCGTGCGTGTGTTTAGCAATTATAATTATTTGATTTCAAAGTTAAAATGTGAAACCATTATTCTCAAATATTTTTCCCTTAAATATATTTAGACTATTAATAAATATTATTTAAATTTTACATTAACATAACGTTAAAAAAGCTGTGTGACTTCTGTAGTTTGCATACGAATATACGAGTCGGTCTGTGTACGAATTAGTTGTAGGTCGGCGTAATTTAATGAATATTCATGAAGCGAGAAATATCGATAACGGCAAATATCAGGAATTAAGCTTTGTGCCCATCAACAAAATGTCTTTGAAATAACTTGAGAGTATTTGTTAACTATGTGCATTTTATTTTCAAACATCGAATCAACCCTATTTTCATTATTTTGACTCTGCAAAAATCGCCGCTAGGGTCCCCGTGATTTTACACTGTTGTTATTTATATTCTCTTTAGAGAAGTGGACAGGCTTTCGCCTACATCCACTTCTCTTCGCAAGCCTTCATGTTTTGATTCTGGAAAACGTGTAAATCTCGAACCGGTGACGGTCTACACTTCAACTGACATTTCGTCTAAAATACGTCTGAATGTACATAATAGACGTGTTATCTTAACAATTTTAACATAAATACACACAACTGTCACAAGAAAACTGACCTATAAGTACTGTTAATCCATTTTCACAAGTTCTCCATCCCGGATTTAAACTAATGTTTATCTACCACAGCTTATTAGAAAAAATTGAAAATTTTAAATCGGATAATTTGGAAAAATTGGCGAAGACTTATTTTAATGTTCAAAAAAAGTTTTGGACAATTCACTTTTGATTTAGCATATTATTCAAAATTAATATTATTACCTTTACTTATTTTTACTATTTTAATACAATTTAAATGTAAATTTGAGCTTAAAAAATACTTCATTACTTCCTCACTGACAATACTAAAAATATTTTCTTTTATTTTTAAACGATATTAACTCTACCTTTCCCGAGAAATGAAAAAAAGATTCAAAACAAAGATCAAAAGAATTTGAACGAAACTTGAGGAAATACTGTCTCGTTAATTTAAACAGAGTAGACGATTTCTCTCGTTTCATTATTATTTTGTAAAAATAGTTTCCATTTTTATCCGAATTAGAGATTTTTGAATACTTCAAGAGTTACTTGCACATAATTTAAATCCGGGATGGAGAACTTGTGAAAATGGATTAACAATACTTAAAGGTCAGTTTTCTTGTGACAATTGTGTGTATTTATGTTAAAATTGATAAGATAACACGTCTATTACGTACATTCAGACGTATTTTAGACGAATTGTCAGTTGAAGTGTAGACCGTCACCGGTTCGAGATTTACACGTTTTCCAGAATCAAAACATGAAGGCTTGCGAAGAGAAGTGGATGTAGGCGAAAGCCTGTCCACTTCTCTAAAGAGAATATTGTTATTTATAGCCCAAAAACAGCAGAAATAGCCACCGTCTAAAAATTACAATGCAAATGAAAAAACATAGAATACAAATAAAAGTTTTACACTGCAAATGAAAAATTTTAGAATACAAATAGAAAATTTTACAATACAAATAGAAAATTATACAATACAGATGGAAAAGATCGAATATTGCAAAGTTTGACATGCCATACAATTCACTCAGAAATTGATCTATTTATTGTTCTGTCCATTTTAATTAACTTTGACAAAAAATAATACCATTGACAGTACAGGTTTGAGATACTTATGGAAACATGCACTTGGCCTCCTAAGTCATTATACTTATACATGTACATGTATATTGAATTGAAACACAAGTGGAGATGAAAAATAGTGCAAAAACGTAGATTGCATGTATTCGAAGAATAATCTACACGATAACGTGAAGTAGAGATGGATTGATATGTGTAAGTCAGAGTTGTTTATTTTGAAAATGCTGGAATCAAATGAATCAAATCTTTACTTAAATGTGATTAGATTACAAAAATACAGAAAAATATAACAAATACAATTGTTAAATGGATGTTGTTTACATGCTGCCTGTTACAGGAAGATAACGTTGTGCAAATGAGTTACTTCGAATTCATATTGATTTTTTTAAAAAAATTTTTACTTTTGAATTTCATAGATTTCCCTTTCATACATTTTCCTATCCTTTTTACATGTGTCATCTATGGTTTACCTACAAATTTGCATTTAAATGTAACTGTTGCAATTAATTCTCAAACTTTCTGTTGAAAGACTGGACCAAAAACAAAATGAAAACAACAACAGCAACAAAATCAACAATCATAAAACGGGAAAGGGTGGTGGCTATCACAAAGAAAAATCAATTTTGGCTGGAACCACTTTTTACCACAAATCAGGGTCCAAAATCTCTTTATCCGATCGACTTTCGATGTTTGAATTATTTTTCTTCTTTTTCAAGGAGAGGTGTGCTCAATCGTGCGTCATGGGATGCCCAAAGAGAATCATTGTTGGTTTTTTAACCTTTCTTGGATTCCTCATTTTCTTTGGCTTCAGGACAGTGTTTACCATGGTTATGGTCTATGTCATCAAAGAAAATGACAACACCGGTGTTTCCTTGTTTGACAAGGTGAGAATAAATATACTGGAATACTGTGGAATATCATTGCTTATGGGTGACCAGAGTTTGCGGATTTAGGGGTTACCATCCGTAACGTACGCTACTAAAGCAGAATCTTTTTAGAATCCATCAAGAGTTCCAAAGGGGCAAAAATAATCTACCCCAAAGGAATTGATGATTTCAAGTAGCTGGGTTTTTTTTAAAGTAGTCAAAGACTTTCTTTAAAATAATTTTTGAATTTTATAGAAAACGGAAACAGGATTTCTATGATTCTTTACAATTATTATTCATGATTACTTCTTTATCACTTTTTTATTCAAGTGCTCCTTAAATGGAACCTCAAATGACCTACAATTAGATTGGAGTGTATCACTGTCGCAGTATCTCAGCACGGCTTATTTTCTGGGATACTTAGTAACTCAATTGCCAGGAGGATATTTAGCTGTCCGGTTTTCTCCAACAAAGTATGCTATTTTGTTTTTGTCCGGTTTTCTCCAACAAAGTATGCTTTTTTTTTTAATGAAAACCAAATCTCATATTGGAAAAATAGTTCAAAAGTATTTTCTGCAAATAAACAATGTAAAGACAAAATAAATTATGAAATCTTAATATCTTGTTTTTTAGAGTGTTCGGAGGAGCCATTCTTATAAGTGCGTCCTGTTTTGTGATTATGGCATTTTTCATGAGGTACAGTCCAATTATAGCTTATGCTGCTAGAATTATCCAAGGACTTGCAGAGGTACATATAATATATAAGATGCTTTGCTACTTTGGTAATCAAATGATATTTTCTTAAAAATCTTCCTGAATATCGGTACTTATTTTCATAGGGCACGTGTCAACCTGCTATGGGTGCTGTAATGTCCTCCTGGGCCCCAAAATCGGAACGAGCAAGAATGGTGGGACTATCGTATTCTGGTATTCTAATTTTTTAATTCAGTCACTCAGATGTCTCTTCAAAAATTCATAAATATAGATATTTAATTTTACGTTGAGGGGGGGGGGGATTCTTCTCATATTTCGTGTATTTAAAAATTCATGAAATTTTCATAGATTCAATAAACATTATGTCTAAAAGATGGTATCAAAAAGATTAAATTTGACCGTTTTATTTTAGAAGCATATTCTGGTCAAGGTCATTATCTTTTTCCTTGACATTAAGAGTAAAAAAAAATTACTGTTGCCAATCATGTGATGCCTTCTTCTATTTCAAAAGATTATTTTTTTTCTTTTTGCATTAAAAAAGATGTAATTATCTAGGGTCTATCAGAAGATACTACCAAATTGACACAGATGATTCACCTAAAATAGATATTGGTCAATCCCAATTTTCTCTATTTCTCTTAAATTTTTAGGATATATTAGTTAATTTTATATGCTTCGTGTATTTAAATTTTTCTTATTTTCTGATATGGCAAAGTAGTCATATAAAGATACAAAATATGACAAAAAGTTTTGACCGTTTACTACACTGTAAGAGAGAAAAAAAACAACACTTTTTAATGATGTTTTGCTCAAATCTGTACTTAGATTAAATTTTGATGCTTTCAAAAGCTTTGATGCTTTCAAAAAGCTTGTAGTTTTTTGGAAAGTCATATTTATTTGATATATTTTAAAACTTTAGCCTATTATTATTAAATTTAGTTTCAAGAGAAAATTTCTATAAGTCTGTGATTGTTTAAATATTTTACCTAAATTCATTGTTCTGTAGTAATTTTGAGAAGCAGAAAAGGAGGTATTTTCATACGCCGCCGTTCCGCCTTAAATATAGTCCCTGCTAGATTTCAATTTCAGTTCACCTTTTATATTAAATTTGCACAATTATGACGAGGAAAGAAAAATATGATCTTTTAAATCCCTTACATCTAAATATATAAGATATTTTATAATAAGCAATTATACTTTGAAGATTTATTTAAGTCAGCATTAACTATATAGAAATTGGACCGTTCACGGTAGCTCAGTCGGTAGAGCGCTCGCTTCGTGATCGGGAGGTCGTTCGAATCTCGGCCGCGACTGACCTAAGTCGTTAAAAAGGGGTAGCAACTGTTCCTTCGCCATGCGCTCGGCACTTTGAAGTGAAAGTTGCGGGTCCTTCGGATGAGACCTTAAAAACCGAGGCCTCGTGTCACGGTAGGCGTTGGCACGATAAAGATCCCTCACTGCTCAATGGCCCTGAGTGCCGAGTAAAAGGTCACAATTTGAAGCCCTTCACCGGTATATGGTGACGTCTCTATATTCATGAGTGAAAAATTCTCGAAAGGGACGTAAAACAACATACAATCAATCATATATAGAGGTTGCGTCATCAAACCAACACTGTGGGTAGCACGTGACCTGTGTACACATTGTTTAGTCAGAAACCAGACAAGACACATACTAGTATATATGAAATCTTTTTTTGATGTGGTATAGATCAACTGGAGAGGTGACCACTAAAGATAAATTAACACTTTAAACCATTTCATATCGTACTTCATTGAGAGAGTAATTGAAAAAAAAATAATTGGAAATCAGTTTTGGATTTGTTTTTATCATTTTACATGCAGAATCTGTCAGAAATTGTTTCTGAGATACCGGAAGAATCACACTGTCTTGATATTATATTTTTTTTCTAGAGTTGCCCGTGAGAATGTTACATCTTAACTATAATCCTAATACCTTGTAGGTATCTACCTGAGCGCATCTATGGGATCTGCTATAGCGGGAACCACAACGTGTTATGTCAGCTGGAATTCTGCACTCTTTATCTATGGTATAACGCTTAGGCTCTGTTGGTGAATTTGCAGGCAATTTCATTTGAAGCAAAATAAGGGTTTATAATTACAAAAGATTACTCTTTGCCAACAGAAATGAACAATATTCAAATATCTTAAGGATTGGAATTAATATCTACCCAATTTATACGGTATTAACTGTTTTGGGGAAGTTTACGCTTCATAAACCGTGAACCTTATAATCTAATTTTCATAAGAATGATTGTCCTTAAAAGTGACTTTAATTTGTACAAAATTTAAATGTAACGTCAGGCAAAAATCCGCCTGATACATTTTTGACGTTTATGAGAAGTCGTTGTGACGTAGGTAACATAGTTTACACGATATCAAGTAAATTTTTTATCCAATCAAACGATGCGTTACAACCAGAATTAAATTATTTTAATACAAATGTACACTTTTTTATGCAGGAGGTTTGGGTATTCTTTGGTCCTTTGTTTGGTTTTGTACGGTATATGACAGTCCATTGATGCATCCCTCACTGAGCGAAAAGGAGAGGGAAATATTTGAGAAAGAAGGTTCCAATATCTTAAAGTCTTCTTCAGATCTTGTAAGATTTCATATTATGATGAACACTTATCCTGATCAAAGAAAATATTCTCAATAAATCTATATTATTCTGAAACCCATGTATTTTATATTTCCAAAGGCTAAAAGTGTTCCTTGGAGAAAGTTATTGACGTCACTTCCTGTTTGGGCCTTATACTTGGCAAATTTCACAAGATCCTGGGTCTTTGCTATGATCATTTTCGAAATACCTCAGTATTTTACGGATGCATTTGCTCTTAATGTATCAACGGTAAAGAGGAAATATTATATTCATCAAGTGATTAAAATTAGTATCGAAAGTATCAAAGATTTATGAGTAACGCATCTAGAACGTTAAGTTAATAATGTTTAAACTAATTTTAAAGGTAACGTGTTAAAAAATTGCATTCCTCTTCTCTCCTCAGATTGGATTCTTGACTTGCTTTCCTCCAATTCTTATGACCGTGTCTGTGGTATTTGGAGGAATCTTCGTTGACAAATTAGTGAAAACAGAGAAAATCTCCGTTACTGTTGGGCGTAAATTTTCTCTCGTTATAGGTAGGTATTTATTTGTGGTGAATAAACCGTGTGATTGTATTCGTCCAAACAAATAACAAATATGTTCCTAAATATTTTCATATATATCTTTAAGGTTTCGGATGCGAGGCGTTGTGTATTTTAGCTCTAGGTTTCGTTAGAGATTACACCGCAGCCGCTGTTCTCATAGTTGTTGCGGAGGGACTTGCGGGATTGTCTATTGCAAGTATGTTCAGTAACAGCATTTCAGAGTTACTTTATTTGAGGTTGACTACTGTTCTTTATCTTCATATTTCATAAACATTCTTTTCATCCACATTCTTTTGACTAAATATATTAATAATTCTATTATAGGTTTTAAAGTAAATCCTGTTGACTTAGCCCCTCAATATGCCAGTGTTCTGACGGGTATAGTGAGGTCGGGGGTGCTAGGGGCCGCTATTGGTACAGCGATTGCTGGAGCTCTCAGAGAGAAGGTAAATAATTACTTTTTTACTACACGATTATTTTCCAGAATAAATTTTATTAACAGTGCTTAATATAAAACTGAAAATAATGTAATCACGGGCGAAATGTAATATTCTAGTTAAAATGCCCCGTTACCTGACAAAAGCATTTCACAGATACCAAGCTACAACCCTTTTTAAACTTGTTTTAATCTAAAATAAATGAGACAACGGTGGATTATACAACGTGATACAAATGTACAAGATTCCACGCACCTGTTTTCAATCTCCCTCATCGTAATTGTCATAACAGTAAATATAATTTGTAAATCAAACATATTTTTTTTTATGAATGATAGATAATTTTTATGCCCCCGGATCGAAAGATCCCGGGGGTATATTGTTTTGTCCTGTCTGTCTGTTTGTCTGTTTATCTGTTTGTCTGTTGTCAACTTTAACCTTGCCCATAACTTTTGATTGGTTGGAGCTATGACTTTCATATTTCACATGTGTATTTCTTGTGACAAGACCTTTCTTTGGGTACCACCATATTTGACCTTTTGACCTTGACCTTGGAGTTTGACCCACTTTTGCAAAAATTTCATGAGACTTTAACCTTGACCATAACTTCTGAACAGTTTGTGCTTGGGGTTTCAAACTTCACATGTGTATTCTTTGTGACAAGGCCTTCCTTTGGATACCAACAACTTTGACCTTTTGACCTTGGCCTTGGAGTTTGACCTACTTTTGAAAAATTTCATGAGACTTTAACCTTGACCATAACTTCTGAACAGTTGGTGCTTGGGGTTTCAAACTTCACATGTGTATTCTTTGTGACAAGGCCTTCCTTTGGATACCAACAACTTTGACCTTTTGATCTTGGCCTTGGAGTTTGACCTACTTTTGTAAAAAACTTTAACCTTGGCCATAACTTTTGAACAGTTGGTGATTGGGGTTTCAAACTTCACATGTGTATTCCTTGTGACAAGACCTTCCTCTGGATATCAAGCACTTTGACCCTTTGATCTTGACCTAGGAGTTGGACCTACTTTTGAAAAACTTTAACCTTTGCCATAACTTTTGAATGGTTGGAGCTAGGGCTTTCATACTTCACATATGTAATCCTTGCGACAAGACCTTCGTTTAGATACCAACCACCACTTTGACCTTTTGACATTGACCTTCTTTTGAAAAACTTTAACCTTCGCCATAACTTTTGAATGGTTGATGCTAGGGTTTTCATACTTCACATATGTAATCCTTGTGACAAGACCTTCCTTTGGATACCAACCACTTTGACCCTTTGACCTTGACCTAGGAGTTTGACCTACTTTTGAAAAACTTTAACCTTGGCCATAACTTTTGAATGGTTGGTGCTAGGGCTTTCATACTTCACATATGTAATTCTTGTGACAAGATTTTCCTTTGGATACCAACCACTTTGACCTTGACCTTGACGTTTGACTTTTATTTAAAAAACTTTAACCTTCGCCATAACTTTTGAACAGTTGTATCTAGGTCATTCAAATTTCACAGGTGTATTCCTCGAGACAAGACCTTTCTTTGGGTATCAACATTATTTATCTTTTGGCCTGGATTTTGACTTGCATTTGAAGAAACTTTAACCTTCGCCATAAGCTGCCATACGGGGGCATCAGTGTTTCACAAACACATCTTGTTTTCTTTCTAGAATGCACATTCCTGGTACAGAATCTTCTTCATCACCGGATCAGTACATTTATTTGCTGTTATTTTCTACTCTGTGTTTGGATCTGGACAACAACAAAAATGGGCTCAGACAGAATATACTATGCTCGATATACCAAAAGGTGATTCAGCATACGGGTCTACCGTCATATCACTCGATAAAACCAAAGAAAACCTCTCAGGAATCAAGGAGTCTATTGCAGAGGAAAATCACAGTGGCATCATTTCATACGATATTACTGGCAGCAAATAACTAGTTATCCCATACACCAAGGAATAAAATATTTTTTCAATGTTTTGACTTCACTTATTATCTTTAAAAACTAAGCTAATGTACTTTTTCTTGTTGTCATATGAAGTGCATCTTCTGCTTATGCTTCCAAAGCTTTTTTTTATCAAAAAGAAAAGCATTCAGTGTCACTAATATTCCTACAATCTAATGGACATGAGTTTAAATTATGAAATCATGTTAACCTGCAGATGGGTATAAGTAAATCCAAAAAATGCCAGGGAAATGAAATTTGAAAACTGTGCATTTCCCTTTTTCTTTTATGCTTGTTTAGACTGCATGACTTCAAAGTATCACTATTTTTTGAATTATGTAAATTATACATAACTGTTACTTGCTCCTCAGAAATTTTGATCCCTAATTTAAAACAAATCCCAATAATTTTGAAAGAATTTTTTTTGTAAAATTATTCATTTGATAAATACAGTATAGCATTACTTCAAGATATGAATCGGACAAGGGAATTTCACTTTACAAGTGTTAATACAATGTACTATTCCTTTCAAAGCTCTCATTTTTAGTACATTATTCAAGTATAAGGCCAAGAGACTACAAGTCAAACTCTGCTCTTAACAGATAAAGATTAAGTGCAGCTTCAGTTGTCTCAAGTTGTATGACTTTCATTCAGAAAATACAATTGTTTCCAGTATAAATTATAGTTTTATAGATCTCCTAAATTGTTTTTCCTCATTGTCTTTCAAATTTCGCCTTTTTATGCATGACATTTTTTATGTTGTCATTTAGACCTTCATTTCTTCATTAGAGGGCCTTAAGTTGTTAAATATTGATAAAAAAAATAGCATGTTGTTCCTTGATAAGTGTTAAATGTTTTATATTTTAACCATGTGTCGATTCTCTGTTTTTGTCATGTTTATATGAGGCGCCATTTCTATATTTTTGAGGTATTTTTTGATATCAAAAAAAGAAATCTTGATATCAATAATTCGAATTCTTGATATCAAAAAATAATTCTTGATATCAAAAAAATAATTCTTGATATCAGGAATTTGAATTTTTGATATCAGAAAATGATTTTCTGATATCAAAAATTCGATTTTTTGATATCAAAAAATGATTTTCTGATATCAGGAAATCAAATTTTTGATATCAGAAATTAATGTAGATTTTCTGATATCAGAAAATCATTTTCTTGATATCAAAAAATCATTTTCTGATATCAGAAAATCGATTTTTTGATATCAGAAAATAAATTTCTGATATCAAAAAATGCTTTCGAATTTTTGATATCAAAAAATCGATTTTTTGATATCAGAAAATATGAGTGAAATAAATAGAACTTACATAAATGAATGCTCCCTTATTCCGTATCAATGGTTAGTTTACTCGTATTAGTGTCATCCTGAATACCGATCCCGCTGCAACATTGTATGTTCTGTTAACTTTGATTAGTGTTATCAATTCATAGTTGATTGTCTAGCCTAAAGCCTTGTGTTTTCTTAATAAAATTTTTGTATAGATTAATAATGCAAGGAAATAAATGAATATACATAAATTGATACGTACATGCATTTACAATGCTGATAAGTTTGAAATGTCCGAATTCCAAATAAGTCTTGAAGCCTCCTTGAGTTGTAATGACAAGAGATTCGTAGGAAATGACAGTAAAAATGAATAGAGTAATTAACACTTTATGCATTCAGTAAGTTCTCTTTACATCATAAACACCGAAACTTGTAACCCTCATTTTGTAACATATACAAGTTCGCCTTTCAACTAATTCTATAGATAATAGTATAAAACCCAAACACAGGGGAGCCCTACTTCTGTGAAAACAATCTTGGGGAGAATAGATTATCTGTATGAGCCTAAACACTAATATTTGTTGAATTTCTGATATCAAAAAATTGATTTTGTGATATCAAAAAATCCACTTGAATTTCTGATATCACAAAATGATTATTTGATATCAGAAATTGGAATTTTTGATATCAAAAAATGATTTTCTGATATCAGAAATTCGAATTTTTGATATAAAAAAATCTCGCTTATTTTTTGATATCAAAAAATATATTTTCTGATATCAGAAAATGATTTTTTGATATAAAAAATTCGAATTTCTGATATCAAAAAATCATTTTTTGATATCAGAAAATACCTTAAAAATATTAAAACGGCGCCTCATATGTTTATTGTTCTTATCATAATCAAATTAACTATTGAGAAAAAGCAGATCCATCCCTTTTGTTCGGATTATTCAATTTCGATAAATAAAAAATTTCATTACATTCTCATAAAACATTTGAAGGAGAGAATTAGTTAGAGAAACTTTTAAAGAAGATAATTACGCTTAATTATGTGTACTAAGGCCATATGATTACTCACGTACCTTAACGGTGAGAGAGCAAGGCTTCAACACAAGGGTAAAGGAATGAAAATAATGTTCAAGTATGCTGATTGAATTATCTCGCACGGTCCCTCACTTTCAATTTTCATCTTGCATTCTTCCTGACCACAAGGTGAGAGTGCAAGGGTGTCAGTAGCTTGATATATATATATATATATATATATATATATATATATATATATATATATATATATATATATATATATATATATATATATATATATATATTCAAGCATTAACTACTGAGAAAAAAGAAAAATAATAGTGGACACGTAGTAGTCTTTATTTACTTCCTGTTTACTACGTTTTACAAATTCTCATTATGTATCAAACACGTACATGTATGCTTTGTAAAGTTGTGTGGTCCTAGTCATATGGAAATAATCAATGTTTTGTTAACCATACACTAGTAAATGTACATTAAAACATTGTTACATAAATGACAATTAAAAACCGTCAGAGAAGTCTTATTGGTGTGCAGTTCCACTCCCTTTCAGTTGCAAGAGCGTCTTATTACGTACAAACAATATAAACAATATGGCAACTGTCCACTGATCTTACGTCAGCAGAAATATCTTTGTACCGATTAAAATCCTGTGTACCAATTCAAGTGCCTTTGTTATAAAGTTAACGATAATTTGAGATTAAAAGATTTTCTTCTGTATACTAAGTATGCTTTTTGTTAACTTTTCTGAAAAACTTAGGAAAATGACTGTTGCTTTGTATTTTTATGCCCCCGGATCGAAAGATCCCGGGGGTATATTGTTTTGTCCTGTCTGTCTGTTTGTCTGTTTATCTGTTTGTCTGTTTGTCTGTTAATCTGTTTGTCTGTCTGTCTGTTGTCAACTTTAACCTTGCCCATAACTTTTGATTGGTTGAGCTATGACTTTCATATTTCACATCTGTATTCCTTGTGACAAGACCTTTCTTTGGGTACCACCATATTTGACCTTTTGACCTTGACCTTGGAGTTTGACCCACTTTTGCAAAATTTTATGAGACTTTAACCTTGGCCATAACTTCGGAACAGTTTGTGCTTGGGGTTTCAAACTTCACATGTGTATTCTTTGTGACAAGGCCTTCCTTTGGATATCAACCTCTTTGACCTTTTGACCTTGACCTTGGAGTTTGACTTACTTTTGAAAAACTTTAACCTTGGCCATAACTTTTGAACAGTTGGTGCTAGGGGTTTAAAACTTCACATGTGTATTCTTTGTGACAAGACCTTCCTCTGGATATCAACCTCTTTGATCCTTTGACCTTGACCTAGGAATTTGACCTACTTTTGAAAAACTTTAACCTTGGCCATAACTTTTAAACGGTTGGAGCTAGGGCTTTCCTACTTCACATATGTAATCCTTATGACAAGACCTTCGTTTGGATACCAACCACTTTGACCTTTTGACCTTGAGCTACGTTTGAAAAACTTTAACCTTGGCCATAACTTTTGAACCGTTGCAGCTAGGGCTTTCAAATTAAACATTTTTTATCTTTTGGCCTGGGTTTTGACTTGCATTTGAGAAACTTAAACCTTCGCCATAAGCTGCCATACGGGGGTATCAGTGTTTCACAAACACATCTTGTTTTTAATATAGTTTCACTATACATAAAGTTTATTAGCCTTTCAAACTCTACGGTGTTAAAAAGACCGTTTTATCAATTAATCAGTATCCTGACCCATTGTCCTGATTTAATCATTTCTGTATTAAAAAGGTCGGTGCATTGTAGCAGCCCTTGATTAAAAAAAAGTCCACTGATGATAAAATGGGGCGTTCATAAATTAGTGAATGATTCTCTGATGATAAAACATCATTAATGATGACAATCATAACCACCAATGAGGAAACGTTCACTTATGATTACATTTTTAATTAGAGATTAAAAATGTACACTGATAATAACAAGTAATGAAGGGGAAATATGCACAGTCTTTTTCACATTTGATAAAAAAGACCCATGTCTTAAGGTATTAATTTGACATTCGTTAATTAACGTTGTAGCGAAGTGAATTTATAAAATGGTGTTTATGATGCAAATTTACAAGTGATTTAATTTCGAGTGTTTCAAGTAAGCATATTTAATTTCAGTAATCATCAATATGTTATTATCTTCCTCGAGTTTACATAATAAAGTACATAAATAGGTTTTATTACTCTGAACCTTAGAACTCTGAGCTAAGGCTGCTTGTATGCCTCCTTTGAAATTCTTTTCATACTAGTCATCTGTACTAATCGATCAACAGCACTCACAACTTTTTTGTAAGGGTTCTTGTAATCAAACAAATAAAATCCAAGACATAGCCTATGGCATGCAAAATGTTGCATTACTATACAAATCTTATAGTAGTTGATAAAACCTGTAATTTATAGTCAGTTATCATGTTATATATGTATATGCGAAAAGCTGATATTCATATTCGAAAACCTGTTATTTATATGTAAAAACTTGTGATTCATATTCGATAATCTTGCAATTTATATGCGAAATATTGTTATCAATGTGCATTATGAATCATAAGAGTATCAAATATAAATTGCAAGATAATAGCAAATAAATCACAAGATTATCGAATATGAATCAAACGTTTTTGAACTTTTTGAGCATAA